ACCTACCACACCATGCTGCTGCCCGTCACCATCCACAGGGAATGTCTCCTCGCCCTGCTGGACACCGGCTCCACCCACACCTTCCTCCAGGGCACGGTCATGCGCCGCCTGGGGATTGTTCCGCGTGGCGGCAACAACTTCCGTGTCACTGTCGCTAACGGGGAGCGTTTGCCGTGCGAGGGAATCACCCGTGATCTGCCCGTCCTCATCGGTGGCGAGTCCTTCCCCGTCACGTGTGTGGGGCTCGCCCTCGGCTGCTTCGACTTCATCCTCGGCGTCGACTTCCTAGGAGCTTTGGGGCCTCTCCTGTGGGACTTCGAGGGCCTCACCGTCTCCTTCCAGCGAGGCGACCAACGCGTCACGTGGTAGTGCATGGGCGCCCCGGGTGCTTCGACACACCAGCAGCGCCTGGCCGCGACCACGACCGACCAGCAGCGGCCGCTGCTGGACCAGCTCCTGCAGCAACATGGGGCCATCTTCGACGAGCCGCGTGGCCTCCCGCCCGTGCGCGCCTACGACCACCGCATCCACCTCCTACCGGGGACCGCACCAGTGGCGGTGCGGCCCTACCGGTACCCGTAGCTCTAGAAGGATGAGCTGGAGCGGCAATACGCCGCCATGTTGGAGCAGGGCATCATTCGGCCGAGCTCGTCACCATTCTCCGCCCCTGTGCTGCTCGTCAAGAAGTCAGACGGGTCGTGGCGTTTCTGCATCGATTATCGCGCGCTCAACGACAAGACGTCCAAGGACAAGTTCTCGATCCCGGTGGTCGACGAGCTCCTCGACAAGCTCCGCGGGGCACGCTTCTTCACCAAGCTCGACCTCCGCTTGGGCTATCACCAAGTGTGCATGCACCCGGCGGACATCGAGAAGACCGCTTTCCGCACCCACCATGGCCACTTCGAGTTCTTGGTGATGCCATTTGGGCTGTCCAACGCCCCGGCAACTTTCCAAGCCCTGATGAACAACGTCCTCCGGCCCTTTCTTCGTAGGTTCGTGCTGGTCTTCTTCGATGACATCTTGATCTACAGCTCTTCGTGGTCGAGCACCTCCAGCACGTCGGCCTCGTCTTCTCCGCCTTGAGGGCTCACGGCCTCTACCTTAAGAGGTCCAAGTGCTCCTTTGGGACGCTCTCCGTCGACTACCTCGGGCACGTCATCTCCGTCGACGGCGTCGCTATGGACAGCGACAAGGTGGCTGCGGTCGCCTCATGGCCGACGCCGCGTTCACCCCGGTGTCCACGGCTTCCTCGGGCTTGCGGGCTACTACCACAAGTTCATCCGCGACTTCGGCTCCATCGCAGCTCCACTCACTCGTCTCCTACGCAAGGAGGCGTTCGCCTGGATGCCGGAGGCGGCGGAGGCCTTCGACGCCCTCAAGAGGGCCTTGTCATCAACCCCTGTTTTGCAGATGCCGGATTTCACTCGTGAGTTCGTCGTCGACTGCGACGCCTCAGGCGCAGGCTTCGGCGCCGTCCTCCACCAGGGGTTGGCCCCCCTGGCGTTCTTCAGCAGACCCTTCATCGCGCGCCACATCAAGCTGGCGGCCTACGAGCGCGAGCTCATCGGGCTGGTGCAGGCGGTCCGGCACTGGCGGCCGTACTTGTGGGGACGCCGCTTCCTCATCCGCACCGACCACTACAGTTTGAAGTTCCTGCTTGACCAGCGGCTTTCCACTGTTCCGCAGCATCAGTGGGTTAGCAAGCTGCTCGGGTTCGACTTCGCGATGGAATACCGCCCCGGCCGACTCAACTCGGTGGCGGATGCGCTGTCCCGCCACGACGAGGACGCAGTGGCAGCGTTCACCTTGTCCGAGCCATCCTTCGCCCTCTACGACGACATCCGGGTAGCCACCCGGGAGGACCCAGTGGCACGTGGCCTCCTGCAGCAGCAGGCCGTGGGGACGCTGGAGGCGCCCTGGACCGCCGTGGACGGCTTCCTCCTTCATGGCAAACGTGTCTACGTTCCCGACCTGTAGGACTTGCGCCATCAGGTGGTGACCCTAGCGCATACCACGGGGCATGAGGGCATCCAGAAGACCCTTGTGCGGCTGCGCAGCGACTTCTACATCCCCGGCGACCGCAAGCTTGTACAAGACTACGTCCGCACGTGTGGTGTGTGTCAGCGCAACAAAACGACCACGACACAGTCGGCCGGTCTCCTGCAGCCCTTGGATGTGCCTTCCCAAGTGTGGGCCGACATCTCCATGGATTTCATCGACGCCCTCCCCAAGGTCCATGGTAAGTCTGTGATCCTAACGGTGGTGGATCGCTTCTCCAAGTACGCGCACTTCATCGCCCTCAGCCACCCCTACACGGCCGCGTCGGTGGCTCGCACCTTCTTCGAGGGGATCGTGCGGCTTCATGGCTTCCCCACTTCCATCGTCAGCGACCGCGATCCGGTCTTCACCAGCCACTTGTGGAGGGATTTGTTTCGCCTTGCAGGTGTGAAGCAGAGGCTCAGCACGGCCTTTCACCCTCAGACGGACGGCCAGTCCGAGATCGTCAACAAAGTGATCGCCATGTACTTGCGCTGTGTGACCGGTGATAGGCCACGCTCATGGGTCGATTGTCTACCATGGGCGGAGTACTGCTACAACACGTCGTACCACACGGCGCTTCGGGCGACTCCATTCGAGATTGTCTACGACCGCCCACCGCCTCCCCTTATGCCCCACCAGGAGGGGCGGCTGAGACGGAGGACGCGGACACCATGCTCTGGGACCGCGACGCGTTCCTGGTCGAGGTCCGGGAGCGCCTCCTCCAGGCGCAACAACACGTCAAGGAGCGCTACGACGAGCACCACCGGGCTGTGGACTTCGTTGTGGGCGATTGGGTGCTGCTCCGACTTCTTCACCGCCCACCCACACGCTCGCGACGCCGGCCAAGGGCAAGCTTCGTCCTCGCTACGCTGGCCCATTCCGCGTACTGGAACGCATTGGGTCGATGGCCTATCGTCTACAGCTGCCCGAGACTGCACGCCTCCATGATGTCTTCCACGTCGGGCTGCTCAAGCAGTGGCGTGGTGATCCTCCTGCGACGCCGGCGGTGGTGCCACCCGTTTCCGAGGGGCGCTGCTACGCCCCGAGCGGTCGTCGTGGCTTCAGTTCGCCACGCGCCATTGGAAGTCATTGGTCAAGTGGCACGGCCTTCCGACTGATGCTGCGACATGGGAAGCTCTCGACGACTTCAAAGCCCTCTACCCCGATGTACAGCTCGAGGACGAGCTGTTTGTCGACGCGGAGGAGAGATGTTATGACCGGCGTCCAGTATCAAAGGTGCCGGCCCATTAGTGGCTAAAGCCACCATCGGCCAGGAGGATTAGGCGCAGGAGCTAGGGGCTAAAAACCCATATTTATCCTTAATTGTTTATTTCTATAATTAGAGAGCAATTAGCCATATATAGGAGTTGTAATTCCCATGGGCAGAATTAAGCAAGAGTAATCTAATTACTCGGCTTCCTTTGGGAGCCAGGAGTTGCCCTAGCTGCCGCCTTTGTTCTTCTCCTTCCCCTCGCGATCACGGCGCCCCGCCGCCGTGCCGCGCGTCCAGCCTCCCAGCACACGTACAACCTCCGATCGACGAAGGGAAAGGTACAGGTCCATATCAGTATTCATGGCAGAAAGTGGCGGGTTCAGAAACGAAGCAAATAGGGGCTAAATAATCGAAGCCTCCAAGTCTGAACTAGCGTAAAATTAGATGATGTAATTATGGAGTAAGTAACAAAGAACACAAGTAGCACTATCGTCATGCTTATTGCTTCGAATGCGAGTCATGTTGATGCTTCCAGTTCAGAACAAGGTTTTGGTTGTTTGCTGTGGATTTTTGTGGTAATAAACTTAAATAAATGTTTTAAAGTGCCATGTCGAGTCACTGAGCTTATAGACCAAATATATTGTTAAATGTATGATTCAGATTATAATGTGGATCTTTTCTGAGATGCAGAGAGCGCCACGTTTTTTTTTTGTTATTGTGATTGTGTATGTTAAAAATTTACGTCTCATTGTTATTCCTAGCATTTTGGTACTCAATCCAATCTGGATTGGTCAACGTAAAAATCTTGTCTTGTGTGTTCGTTTTATATTCGTCATTTGATAACAAACATGTTCAGTCCAGTCCTTCGGGCTAATCAATCGTCAGGGTCCTCAACATAGCTCCTCTCCTCGGTCCTCACCAAGATGGACAGCATGAACACAAAGAGCAAGGCAGCGAGTTCTGCTTCTCCAAGCAGCAGACACCAAAGCGCTGCTTTCCTAACCTTTCTGAACCTGCCGTTGCCACATTGCTTTTTTTTCTTGGAACTCCTCGTCTGACCTCACTCGTATTCGATTCGGTCACCAGTGGAAGCTGTATTCGATCGGTTGGCCGTTGGGCCACGAGTGGAAGCTGACGCTGAATGCCACCACCCACAAGACTCGGTCCCGAACTTGCGTTGAAAAGCTTCAACTTTCTGCACCAAAACCGCATAGCCACACGAGAACAGAAAATCCTCCAAGGACATTGCACTTGCACCTCAGGTTGAGCTTGTGCAATCTATTCCTGCGATCTGGCATCTTAATCAAACCACAGAGGTTACCATCCAGTTAGTGGTCAATGGCAGATGTAGGTTAAGGCTATATAGGCACGTAACAACGATGAAACCAGCATTACTACAAATTCGTAAGGCATTAAATCTTAAGGCAGACCACAAAGGGGGCAAAACGTTTGAATGAGCACCTGTTTTACCACTGGACAAGGTGCTGAAACTTCACAAGCTATATAGTACCTTGCAAAATCTGTTTAACCACTGCAAGTTTTGACCATTAATTCACAGGTTTAAACCATTACACCAGAAAGGTTAGGTCCAAGCTCGCTATGACAGGAGCAGCCTAATGTTCTCCTAAGAGAGGGTACCAAGATATCTGTCGATGATAACCTATCTATCTATGATATAAAAAAAACTACAAGCATAATAAAGAAAGGAAAAATAGTCTAATGATGAGAACACGGTGGTGATCAAAGTTCATGGCTGCGGAAGGTAAAGAGTATTTGGAGCGGTTCCACTCGGAGTAACACTGCTCTGAGATTTCAATTGGCACAATGGCTGCTGGGTCTGAACTGAACCAGATGAAAGAACAGTGCCCGGTTTCAATTGGCACAAAGCCTGCTGGATCTGAACTGAACCGGATGAAACAACAGTGCCCCCAGGTGCATGATTTGAGGAATTATGGCTGGAAGCCCCGATTTGTGAAGTTGCTGCCACATAGCTTTTCTTAACATAAGTCTGTTGTCTGTCCTTTCGAGCACCTTGAGCAAGTAGTATGTCTGTAGGATGCATATGCATATATTGAGGTGTGCTCGTTGACTGCTGACCTAATGGCTGATTGCTATTGTAATCAGATAATCCCAACTGACGTGCCAAATTAGCAAGTGATTCCTTCGATAATATACCTGGCGATGGAACTTGTGGGCGTTGTGTTCCCTGAGCCTGAGTGTTCAGCGAGGAGCACCGTGAGAGGGGCACTCCAGTGCCAACAACCGTGTTAGGAGCAAGCTGAGGATATGATGGTGGTCGGTACTGGTGTCCCTGATATCCCATTGGTGCACCAACAGGAAACTGAGGGGGGTACCTCTGAAAAGTCTCAGCACTAACATGGCCTCCTGGTGAAACTTGTGCAGGCTGAGATGCATGAGGCCGTGCTGGCTGCACCAGGCCATAGCTAGGAACAGAAGGTTGCAGATGATTACCATTTGAGGGTGTATAAAGTGGAGGAGCAACCTGGGCACCTTTTGATCCATAGCTCGGGATAGTTCTTGGCATAGGAGATGGTGCAGGAAATCTTCCACTAAAACCAGTTACATTCACAGAATACTGCGAGGATGGTCCTGTTGTGACTGAGTGATTGAAATGCTGAGGTAGTCTTCGTTTAGGATTTGGCTGGATTTTGTTTTTGGATTGCCTCAGTCTCTTCCACTTTGAATCCTTATCTGTAGCATGACAATGATGGACCCACAAGGGACAGGGAGCAGGACAGTCACAAACATAACGATGGCACTGCATTTAAGAGAGAAGCACACGAATGAAAATGTGTCCATGCTACAGCCTGCAGGAGTAGACTAAAGATTATCATCTGCAAGCAGAGGAAAGAGAGTTAACTACTGACCATACGACAATGGCTTGCATGAGAACTGGTGCTGAATGGCAAGGTAGCACATAGATGGCGTGGATGAGGGAAATCCCTGCATGCTATCTGAAAAAGGAACATACAATTGTCAGTCCACATTATAGCTCCTGAATGCATAAGCACAAAAAATCATAAGAATATCATATGTAGTAGTAGTAGGGAACCCCTTTAAGGACATCCATAATGTGGGGCATATCAAGGAGTCAACATGAGATTCAAATACGTAGATACATCAAAACATCAACCTGAACTTTTTAAATGATCTAGCTGATGCATTAAACTAAACACTATTGGCAGAGTATTGCAACGACCATAATTATAAACAAGTTCCTCCTCACAAGTAACATTGGTCATCAATAATGGCATATGCGGCCATGCAAATGTTAAATTTTACACAAAGTTAGGATTAACATTACTAGTACCGAAAGAAATAAAATGAACTGTGGTTCAACAGCTGCATTCGGAAAACAAATTTGTCTGTAGCGAGATATAAATTGCCATACATTAACTGCATAACAAGAGTGCAGTTCGCGAAGAGGCGCCAACCCACTCAAAATCTTTTGCCAGCCCAGTCAAAATCTTTTCGAGCTGTAAACGACAACAGCGCACACATACGACTTTGGATTCAATCGCTAGTGACTCACGATGACACCGCAATCACTAGTGACTCACAATGACACCGTCATGCAACCCGTAACGGCAGTGGACAAATTAAAGCTAGCAAGCGTAAGAGCAGTACCTCTCCTTTCTCCGCAACTGTCTGCAGTTCATCCTCAGCGGCATCACGCGAGGGTCCCCCTCCTTGGCAACGGCAACCGGCTTATCAGGGTCACCGTCAAGAATGACGCAATCATCATCGTCGTCGTTGCCACGAGCAACAGGCACGGTGCTCGTGTTCTTGGCACCAACCACACCCTCGTCGCCAACAACAATCCCCGTTTCAGCCTTCAGGGAATCCAAGATCTCCAGCATCGTCGCCGGATAACCCACTCTCTCCAAAACCGCGTCGTCGGAGTCTTCTTGGTCCAGTATTGCCTCGGCCCACGCAAGGGCGGCGGCGTCCGGTGACTTGCGCTTGCCAGCGGCTGGCGTCTGCGCGCCGTCCTCCTCGTCGGAACTGATCACAACAGGCCCCTCCGCCGCAGACCCCATCCGCTGCACAATGACCCCATCCGCTGAAGTAAAAAGATCATGTATAAGTTAGTTATATATTTTATTTAGGTTTATGCTTATTAAATATAAACAAATCTATAACTAAGCTATACATGATTCAATGAGTATAAAATTTTTATTATAGTTCAATCATACAATAATTAACCCACCATAAAAATTTCATCACAATCGGATCATAGAAGCTATAGCTATGAATTATTCTAATTAATCACAGAAAAACATAGATCTAAAGCCACAGCAAAAACTTTGTACTAAAGCATGCCATATTATATATTCACTGTGTAGATCTACTCATGTGAAGTCTAATAAAATTAGATTTTTTATTTTATAATTTTTATGTGATTTACTATGATTTTTTAAAGATTCAACCGAAATAAATAAAAAGAAAAAAACAGAGGAAAAAGATAAAACCATCTTTAAAACTGCTTATAACAGGGTCAGAGAGGTAAGATGAACGATTTTAAAAGTTGAGGGATGTGTTTTGCCGGTTTTGGATTCAGGGAGAAAAATCGAACTTTCGTGAAAGTTGAGGAGGTAATGTGAACTTTTTCCTAGCAACTTTATCCGAGTGGCATTTTTTTTTTTTTGAAACTGGCCAATGGTGTACACGTACACGCAAGTGGGCCGGATCCGAAAGACGGTAAAGGAAACACAAGGACGAAAGAGAGCCGGAGGGCTAGCGAAAGCAAGCAAAGATCGGCAGACGCGGGCACAACACGGCGCAGCAGGGCAGGGCCGGCGTCACTGCTGCTGCTGCCGCTGCCTGCCCACCGGATTTTCTCGGAAAATGCTAGCAGGAACCGTTGAAAACGACGTCGGCGTACAAGGTCGTCCAGCGGCCTTACGCCCGCGTCTCCTTTCCTCCAAAACACGAGACGCTCTGCGCCACGGCCCGCGGCGGGCGTAGTAGCCTCCTCTGCTGCCGCGGGGCGCGTGACTGACCGAACGCCTATGAGGACGGTACGGATGGGAAGTTTCACGGCAGGCGCGCGCGTGCAAATGCACCAGCGGGGGAGGCCGGGAACAGACGCGTGCGCTGATGTGGAGCGGCCGCGGCGGTTGGCGGTTGCGAGTTGCGACGCAACTAGCTAGCCCTCCGGGCGTCCGGGGGACGGGAAAATTTCAGCGTTCGTGCAGTGCAATCGTGCGTGGCGACTGGCGAGACAAACCAGGCAAAGGATGGATGGACCGAACCGGCGAACCAAGAGACTGCAACCGCGAACTGGCTAGCTTTCGGTCGGCCAGTGGGGGATCCATGGGACGGACAAGGCAGGGTGGTTCGGACGTTCAGGTGGCCATTCAACATGCAGCCCGTTCGTTTTTGACTTATAAGCCATGGCTTATCAGTCAGCGAATAATATTTTTATTTCACATTAAACCAGCCAATAGTACTTTCAATCATGACTTATAAGTCAAACAAGCTCAAACGAAAGGGACGATGGTCTACAGGCGACTAGAGTACCAGTGGCAGACGAGCAGTCAGTAGCAGCACATAGCAGGAAGGATTTGCCATTTTTTACTCCTGTTTAAAACCTACCGTATTTAGCTAAAACAGGTTTAAAATATAGATAGAGATCCAAACAACCACTAAAAGCGCGCAACAAGAATGTGTCCCGAAGCAATTCTCTGCCCGGTATCTCAAGAAGTCAATCCATCTTAATTTTAACTAATAAGTTTATAAAAAACAGTATACTTATTTGTATGTATCTTTAAATATGTTTACTATTAAAAAAATATATGACACGATTAGTCTAATGATGTTTACCTCGTGTCACAAATATTATTATTATTTCGATATATATTTGATTAAAATAAAAATTATTTGGTTCTTCTCAATACGAGATGGTGATTTATTTCGGAAGGGAGGCAGTAAATTTTTTTCCGATTAAAAGCGAGAAAAAGCGTAGCGTACACTCCAAACGCTGTAGTACTCTTCTCAGCTAAGCAACCAGGGCCGCGTTTAGTTCCGGCCGGATTCGGCGCCGCCTAAATTCGGTAGCACTGTAGCATTTTGTTTTTATTTGGTAATAATTATCCAATCATTGACTAATTAGGCTCAAAACGTTCGTCTCGCAAAGTACAACCAAACTGTGCAATTAATTTTTGATTTCGTCAACATTTAGTACTCCATGCATATACCGTAAGTTTGATGTGACGATGAATCTTCTTTTTACCTAGTGCCGAAGTTTGGATTTTGGATGAACTAAACATGGCCCGCAACTGCCAACTGAGCCGCTGATCAGGGCTGTTTTTTTTTGGCACGGTTTTCTGCTGGTGTCTTCGCTTAGACAGTCTACTGATATCATTCTTCTTGTAATGGATGTGTGTCTTTGTTTTCTTTTGTTTTATATTCTATTAATGGTCGTGTATAACGCCTTACTACAGAGACCATACCTTTAATAATTATCCAAATAAATCTTCGTTCCTTCAGGGAAAAAAAAACGTTGCACATCGTCTGACTGTCAACATACACCCTGTTCGTTTGGGCTTGTTTGGCTTATAAGTCGTACTTTTTCAGACAACGAATAATATTTTTCTCTCACACCAAATCAGCCAACAATACTTTTAGCTAAACAAGAACAAACGGCGTCTTCGTCAGTCCATTCGTTCTTTCTCCGAGATGAGCAGACACAGGCCACGGATGAGCGAGGTGAACACCCAAAGGCTACGGATGAGCAGATGTATTCAGCGACCTACGGGCTACGGATGGGCAGGAATCTACACAACATCCATCCATTTTTTTACTTGAGAACGGCATCGACGCGTCAGTCAGTCCATCGACCAAACCCGTTGAGTTGTGCCGATGGTCGAACATGCGTGCTTTTCCAAATCATTATTTTGGAAAGAAAATAAGAAGAAGGAAAAAATATAAAGAAAGAGGGAAGAAAAAAAAGGGATAAAAAGACATATAGTTCTTCCGTAATATAATAAGAGAGAAAAGCCTTGTTATGGCCGTTCTTTACTTATCTGCCAGGCCAGGATAGCTTAATGGGCCGACTTCAAGGCCCAACAGGATGATACGTCCCAATCTCGCTTATATTTCTATCAGTTGCCATTGCCATTAGCCTTAGTTGCCGTCCATTATTTAGTACCACACAGTGCAGCCAAATTGGGGGAGTTCGAAACGGGCATACAAAACAAGGGGGCTCCTCATTGTTTAACTCATACCTTTCTCGGCCTTTTGGCTAAGATCAAGTGTAGTATCTGTTCTTATCAGTTTAATATCTGATATGTGGACCATGTGTTCACTTCAGTATTAAATTTATTTTTGTGTGGGAGAGAATCCATTACAATGGCTTGCCATTGGGGTTCTCGAGTGTCGCTCAGCTGTTGCACTATTGGCAGAGCTTGGCACATCCCAACCAAATCAAGAAATAACATTTCATCTGTATAATATAATATAATTTAGTCTTTGATAAAAATTAAGTGTTATAAATCTTTGATAAAAAATAAATGTTCATCCTAATTGAATCTTTGATTAGGAAAATCTCGCTTATCTAAAGACTTCGATTGCTGCCTTGTTCTTTGATTTGGATGATCTCGCTTATCTAAAGACTTCGATGTATACTCTATCCACGGCCATTGTATACTCTGTCCAGATCAGTTTGCCGGCCATTGTATACTCTGTTCTGGACTTTATGGTAGCCCATATAGATACTTGGCCCACGAAGAGCAAACCGACCCAACCGCGACTGGATCACTCCACGAGGGTCCGCTCCTACGCCGCCCGTGCCACGGCCCAAGCCATCGGAGGTGTACGGCTTCGTCGGATCCATCACCACCGTCGTCGCCACAGCCGTTCTGCCTCGCCTGGGCTTATTCGCAGTCGTTGACCGGCGCGGCCCAGACGGTGGCCACAGCGGTTAGGGCGAGCGCGCGCAGGCGGCCGGCTGTGGATGCGCGACTCGGCCTTTGACGCGGGCCGCAAAGGAAAGAGGAGCCTGCAGACGTGTCCGGTGTCCCTGCCGTTGGCGGTGAAGAGGCAGAGACAGGAGGAATTGACGGGCTTATGTCAGTATTTTTCTGTTACAACAAAAGCATCAGTCGACTTATCACTACCAGCCGAACAGCTTGGCATTTTTTTAATTTTAACACTTTTTTAAAACTAATTTTAAATCTAACACTGTTTTTTTTTTATTTCTAAATCTAACACTTTTGGCCGCGTATATTGCCATGGCGCGGCGAAATGCATGTGCCGCGCCATGTATGGTGGCGCGGCGAGAGAGCCGACGTGGCGACGACCGAGACGCTGACCAGTGACGTGACAGAGTCTGCCGCTCCTTGATCGATGGCGCGGCAGAGCCCACGACGCCCCGATGATGACTGTGAGACAGCAGGGCACCGCACGCGGGCAAAGGTCGATGGAGTGGGCACGTCTACTGCAGGAGCTGACACCTTTCCGCGGCGTGCATAGTGCCGCCTCAGAGAGCATCGGGTCCGACGCCAGAGGGTGAGCAAGAGATGGCGTATGGGCCGAGCAGGCAACATCGTCGACGACGTCGTCTCTCCATCACGTCGTGCGCCCGACGCCCCAAAAGCCCCGAGTCAGAGCAGGGCAGGCCTCCGTCACGCAAAGCCCAAAGGTGTCCGACTGCCATGGACAGGCACTCTGAACCCCCAAGGAAAAGGTGACCTTTCTTAACGGTTACACTATGTGATTCAAGCACCCTCCTCGGCCTCACTCCCTCTCGCTCATGTAGTTGGCAACCAATGTCCAGCGGTGGAGCGGATGGCGTTGAAGCGTAGTCTTCTCCCTCGTTGGCTCACCCCCTCCCCACCTAGCTCTGCTTAAGGGGGTGTTTGGATCAGTGATTAAAATTTAAGAGGTGTGTTGAGAGAGTATTGCATAAGGTGTTCGGATACTAATAAAAAACAAATTACATAATTCGTCAGTACTCCACGAGATGAATTTTTTAAGTCTAATTAATCCATCGTCAGCGCATGTTACTGTAGCACCACATTGTCAAATCATGGACTAATTAGGCTTAAAACATTCGTCTCGCAAATTAGTCGTAAACTATGTAATTAATTTCATAATTAATCTATATTTAATACTCCATTCATGTGTCCAAATATTCGATGGGACAACGACTAAAATTTAGGAGAGGTAACCAAACACCCCCTAACTCACCCTCTCCAATGTCCATTCTCCAGTCTAGACTCTAGGCTTCTAGGTTCGAATTTTGTTTTCTTTAATTTAAAACAAATTGATATCTTCATTAATGAAATCTAGAGTAAATCACTGCAATCAAGTTTTTTTGCATTGTATTCTTGTTATGGTCATTATGTTATGAATTTATGGTCCAATATATTACACTAGTAGTATGCCCTTTTTCGTTTTTTTTTCTGCTTAAATTAGTCATTAGCTATCAAAATAGAGGGGGCTAATAGCAGAACTAACTTTTGGCCATCAATATTTTAGCTAAAGGGAGCTAGTTTGTACTAACTCCTAGCTAGCGTTGCTTGCACTCGAGACAGGCGGTGCATGCATGCCGATCAATGAAATTGAAACAAATATACTCTAAAAGCAAAACCTGAAGGCGGAACTGACTGTCACATGCACTGTTTGTTTTGACCGACGAACATGGTGACTGCTGATGCATGTACAGACACAATCGAGGGGTGCCATTGTCGTCGGTGATGCGACGTACCGACGTGACCCTTTCTGAAGTCGCGCAGGCGTCAGCCCTGGCTCAGCCCATACGCTACTGCTCATCCTCTGGCATTAGACCCGATGCTCGATGCTCTCTGAGGCGGCACTGTGCATGCCGTGAGTAGGCGTGTCCACTCCATCGATCTTTGCTCGCACGGTGCCCTGCAGTCTCACAGTCGTCGTCGGGGCGTCGTGGGCTGCTGCGCGCCATGGATCAGAGTGCGGCAGTGCCACGCTAAGATTGGTGACGCGGCAGACCCTGCTACGTCACTGGTTAGCGTCCCGGTCGTCGCCACGTCAGCTTTCTTGCCGAGCCACCATGCATGACGCGGCTGGCAATAGACGTGGCCAAATGCGTTAGATTTGAAAATAAAAAATAAACTGTGTTAGATTTAGAATTAATTTAAAAAAATATTAAAATTAAAAAAAAATCCGCGACGGCTTGGCTGGAGCCTTGGAAGGCGGAGATGGACGAGTAGGCGAGGAAGGCGGACGAGGCGGAGGAGGCGTATCGTTGTGTGTGAGGACGTGAGCGGATTCCCGAGGAGGTGCTGCTGTCCCGGGAGCAGTACAAGACAAGAGACGAGTGTCCAGTGGACACGAGGCGACGAAGTGGGGTTGAGGACACGAGACGAGGAGTGGAGTGGAGTAGGACACGAGGTGGGTTCCGGCCGGCCCACTCCCAGGATATACCGCCACTCCCCTTCCCTCTCCTCCCTTCTCCGCCACGAGTCATCCGCCGCAGCCATGGGGACGGAGGCGGAGCATCAGGACAGCAGCCTCCAACACGACGGCCTCGTGGTGGTGCCAGCGCCGCGCCCGCGCAAGGGGCTCGCCTCCTGGGCGCTCGACCTGCTCGAGTCCCTCGTCGTGCGCCTCGGCCACGACAAGACCAAGCCGCTCCACTGGCTCTCCGGCAACTTCGCCCCCGTCGTCGAGGAGACCCCGCCGGCCCCAAACCTCACCGTCCGCGGACACCTCCCGGTACCATTTCCATCTCTGATCTCTCCCTCTCTTCTTCTCCGCCAAAGCAACTATTCTCCTCCGTCCCAAAATAAATAACTCTAGAATCTTGAGTAGATTAACCGACTTTATAGGTACTTTTGAGTTTTGACACCAAAAAAGTAGACTATGAAAATATATTATTTATATATCACTCCTAGAAGTTGATTTATTTTGGGACCGAGGGATTAATATTTCTACTACTACATGTATGTATCGTCAAAATACTTCATTTTTGTGTGTTTCCTTTGTTTCCACACAAAAAATTCCTGTCACAGTGTCACGAATTCAGATTCTCAGGCTCCTTGTATAAACAAACAAAAACATTGACCTGTGCTGTTGTGCGCCCTTTAACCAGACCCAATACAATACTCCTACTAGTACCTTGCCATGACACTGGTAGTCAACAGGTATGAGTATGAAACATTGGAGCACAATACTCCTTTTACCAGTAGATGTACTCTTCAAGTCAACTAAAAACTATCTTAAACTAATGAATCTTAGGCTACAGCACTCTGTAGCAATCACCTTTAATTTAATGAATCTTCCCTTATAAAAGGAACGACTTTAAATGCAATAATAAAAATTGGCTTTCTTTGAGACAACTCCCTTTAGGAATGACATTTTCGTTATGCAGTCATGTGTTTGCTAGATTGTTCATATCTCCTTTTGTTGTCTCACTATTATTTTTTGGACATCTATCTACAGGAGTGCTTGAATGGAGAGTTTGTCAGGGTTGGGCCTAATCCAAAGTTTGTCCCTGTTGCCGGGTATCACTGGTATTGACTCTTACTTGACAACTTCCCTTTTCCTTAGAGACACCGTCGTAGTCACAGCTCCACTTTTCTGTAAAAGCCTAAAAGGTTAAACACCATTTTGCAGTTCCAATCCAAGGGCATTTAATCACATATTGTATAGTGTTACTAAAGCATAAGATTCTATATGGCTATATAATTCCAGAAGGGTTCGTTCATAGATGTGCATTCACGCATCTTCCTTAATTTACGCATAAGTGTGTACTGCTGTGGTTATAGTTACTTATTTGTTTGTAATGCAAATTCCATTCCTATTTCCCAATATTTAAGTGTAAATTTTGTAACTAACTACTTGTTTTTCAATTTTGTTTATGCAGGTTTGATGGAGATGGGTATGTGGTACTTCCCAAAATACCAAAGTTCTAGCAGTACATTCGTTCTGTCCTGCTGCCACTTGTTTCATTCATGTATATTTGATTCTTTACAGCGGCATAGAATTAGAACAATTCTATTATCACAAAATTCTCTTCATACACAATTGCAGCTGGTGACAAGAAAACATAATAAATGTAATGCCCAATGATACATGCAATTGCAGATGAACAATTTAAGACATAGGTTATGTATTTTGATTGTTCAGTGCTCATCAGAAAAGAGAACATGAAGAAACATAGCTATAAACATGTCCGTAGTCAAAGAATTTAAAAGAATTATCAGGATGTAATGAAGAAAGACAGGCTCATCAGAAAAGAGAACATGAAGAAACATAGTTATAAACATGTCCATAGTCAAAGAATTTAAAAGATTTATCAGGATGTAATGAAGAAAGACGTGTGAATACAAAAATGCAAGAGGTCACACTAATATTTCATGGTGCACTAACTGTGATACCATCTTCATTTTGTCTAATAGGATGATTCATGCCATGCGTATTAAAGGTGGAAAAGCTACCTATGTATCAAGATATGTAAAGACTGCTCGCCTCAAACAAGAAGAGTATTTTGGTGGAGCGAAGTTTATGAAGGTAAAATTACTTGTTTCATTCAAAACCTAAGCATTTTATTAACAAATTACCATTTGACGCTGTAATGCCTACTTATCTCCATCTCCAAAGTTTGTTCTTTTTAGCTAACTAACTAATGTGTGATGTGTGACTAGGGTTCTGAATACATACTAGGCATAAGCTTATTTTGGTCCACCATTTTGCTATGGAAATATTTGTTCTGAAACCAGCTTAGATTTTAATGATATATCCAAAGTTCCAAATCGATGACTATCGTCTTGGGGTATGCTCATTTGTTTTGGTTATTTCCTCTACTTATAAATTGTCATATCTTCATGGCGACTTATTATGTGATGACTATCGTCTTGGGGTATGCTCATTTGTTTTGGTTATTTCCTCTACTTATAAATTGTCATATCTTCATGGCGACTTATTATGTGATGTCATCTTCGTTTCTTTGCTGCTATATTGATGGCATGTTTGAATTTTAGAGCATATTTTATTCTTTGTTATGGCATCAATTAGTCGACAATGTATCATAGAAATGATGTTTAGATCTTACCATCTGACAGTTCAAGGATAATATTGATCCTAAAGTACTAATTCAAACCCTACAACTTTAGCTTTGGCCATCAGTGTTATGTGCACGAATTACTGTTCACGCACATGAATAGTACCTTTGTATTGTAGCATGAGGTTAGGGATGTTAGAATATCTATTATTTGTTAAGCTCCCATCTTATCTGGATTTGGTCTGTCAAGTTTTTGGAGGCTGCCACCCTTTGTAATTAATCAAACAATGAAGAGTCAATTTAACTATTTAAGCCTTTCCAGTGTCTAGTCTAATTCCTCTCCTAGTAGCCAGCTCCACCCAGCTGTCCTCCTTTACAATCAGCTTCCTACAAAATGGTGCATGCACGTGATTATTCCCTCTCTCAATTATTTGCAGATTGGAGACCTGAAGGGATTTTTTGGATTGTTTATGGTCCAAATGCAGCAACTTCGGAAAAAATTCAAAGTCTTGGATTTTACCTATGGATTTGGGACAGGTACCACCTTAGCTTATGATGTGTCTGTTAAATATCATGTCTAATTAAGGGCATTGTTGTATGCTACGTAAATGTACAATTGTTTCACGAGCAATTGCTTGTGGGGTGACATTTTGGTTTTCTGATGCCTTCCTTTTTCCAGCTAATACTGCACTTATATATCATCATGGTAAACTCATGGCCTTGTCAGAAGCAGATAAGCCATGTAAGTTCTCAACCCATTATCACATTCTTTTTTGTGGACATGCCCTGTTGGAAAGGCACCTAACTTCTGTGTATAAATAAAATTGGTAAATTTCCCCCCAAAATTTTGCACTATTGTTATGTTCTCGTGGCTAACAAGAAGTGACAATGAAGAAATCATATGCTAAAACCTGTGTGACAGTACAAAAATAAACAATATGTAGAATTCACTATTTGAGATAATGTTCCACTATGCAGGGGACACATTGATTCATCTGTGCCATGCAGCTATAGAGGGTAAAGAATATAATAGGAGTTCAGGTTGAAGAAAGATACAAATATGGAAATAATGACAATCAGTTTCATATTCGGCACTGTCTGTATTGATTGTCTGCTCCCCAAAAAAAAAAAAAAATCGTTTATAGTAGGATTTAAATCACCAAGCACATTTACCACAGCAAAAAGACGTCACACTGTGTAAGACAGATTTGCCATAGGAATCTTGAAAATATTTTCCGATGGCACATTCTGCTTGCAACTATGCAGAGATCACATCCTGATTTTTACACACTATTGCAATCTTTTGTTATCCACAGACCACACACATCCATTGCAGTAATTATGCTAATGCAGAACATGTTTTCCACATTTTTAGATGTTGTTAAGGTCCTTGAAGATGGAGACTTGCAGACTCTTGGCTTGTTGGATTATGACAAAAGGTTGAAACATTCTTTCACTGCCCATCCAAAGGTTGATCCTTTTACAGGTAAATTACATTGGCTCAGTAATATTTCTTGATTTCCCTCTGATTTCTGACAACTTTTAATGTTTGTATTTACCCTCCTTTTAGATGAAATGTTCACATTCGGATATTCACATGAACCTCCATACTGTACATACCGTGTGATTACCAAAGACGGAGCTATGCTTGATCCTGTGCCAATAACAATACCAGAATCTGTAATGATGCATGACTTTGCCATCACGGAGAATTACTCTATTTTTATGGACCTCCCTTTGTTGTTCCGACCAAAGGTGAGCACAGAAAACTTTCTTTGCATTTTCTTTCTGTGCTACTTATTTACATTTAGCTGATGGATGTCCTAGTTGATTCCTATTAATGCAGTCGGGAAATGCTTCAAACCTGTTTTCATAACTAGATCATTATTGTTTTATATTATTGTATACAGGAAATGGTGAAGAACGGTGAGTTTATCTTCAAGTTTGATCCTACAAAGAAAGCTCGTTTTGGTATTCTCCCACGCTATGCAAAGGATGACAAACTCATTAGATGGTTTGAACTCCCTAATTGCTTCATATTCCATAATGGTACGGCGTCTTTAGCTTTCTGCTGAAACTCTTAATGTATGGCCTTTTTAGATTTTTGTCGAACCCTGTTTTCTTTTCTTTCTTTCTTTTTTTGCAAACTTGTGCTTCTACCTTTAGGAGCTTCTGATAGAATTATGTCAGGAGAACAGGACTCAAGCTAGATCAGTTTCCAGATTACTGTGCTTGAGTATGCAATTCCATGTGTTTCTTAGTTTGAGCTGATCTTTGATAACATGTGTTGTCACAGCTAATGCTTGGGAAGAGGGTGATGAAGTTGTTCTCATTACCTGCCGTCTTGAGAACCCAGATTTGGACAAAGTGAATGGACATCAAAATGACAAGCTCGAAAACTTCGGGAATGAGCTGTATATACCTGTAATCTTGATCTATATTTTTGTTATGAAGTAATGCAGTGCTTGCCATTTTTCTAATGCTAATATTTTAGGTACGAGATGAGATTCAACATGAAATCGGGCGCTGCTTCACAAAAGCAACTGTCTGTTTCTGCTGTGGATTTTCCTCGTGTTAATGAGAGCTATACTGGCAGGTACCTCTATTGGATATTTTCGATTCAGTTACCATTGATTCTTTTGTTGGAGTGAAAGCACGATTACTGTCAATTTCATTTTTTTCAATTTTCCTCTGTGGTAGATATTCTATGAACTGAACTTCATTAAAGAATCTAGTTAGATGCTTCCAGAAGCTCTGAGGATTTCTAATTTTCCACTTGTTGAAAACAGAAAGCAGCGGTATGTCTACTGCACGATACTTGACAGCATTGCGAAGGTGACTGGCATCATAAAATTTGATCTGCATGCTGAACCGGAGAGTGGTAAGAAAAAACTTGAAGTGGGAGGAAATATACAAGGCATATATGACCTGGGACCTGGTAGATTCGGTTCAGAGGCGATTTTTGTTCCCAAGCAGCCAGGTGTATCTGGAGAAGAAGACGATGGCTATCTGATATTCTTTGTACACGACGAAAATACAGGGTACTCTATTCCTTGGCTCTGCATCCTCTTATCCCTGCATATATTGCCATTCATAGAAGGCCTGAAGTGTCTAATAGACAATCGTTTTGATGATGTCGATAACTCAAGAAGCCAACATATGCCTCTTGCTCTTAATATTTCAATTTGACGATTGCAATTTGATTCCACATGTGTTCTTGTGGATGCAGGAAATCTGAAGTAAACGTTATAGATGCGAAGACAATGTCTGCTGATCCAGTTGCAGTGGTTGAGCTTCCTAATAGGGTTCCTTATGGATTCCATGCCTTCTTTGTAACTGAGGTAATACCTACTTTTTCTTAGCATCCGTTCTGCAGTATTGTACTTTGCTATAGCATCTCTGGCTATATTGCTGAGAGCCTTCAAACAAGGTTAATTTATTGTCTATGCATCAAAATTGAAAAATGCAAAACTGTAAAAGTAGGAGTGGTTATTATTAGTATATTTCAAACTGTGGTGTGGTTTGAGCTGTATGTTCTGCTTGGTGTTTGGCGACAGGACCAACTGGCTCAACAAGCTGAGGGGCAGTGAAGATACGGATACATCACCTGCAGATTCTGCACACATGGGTGCACGTTGGAAAATACTGTAGGAGCTAAACTCTGAAACGGCAATGTATATGTGTCTGTCTGGTAAATACAATGGAGCTAGCCTGTGAGCCTGAACCACACATAAATAAAACTCTTAAAAATCAATGGGTTGATATAAATACCCCTTCACACATGTATGTATAGGACAAGTTGAGGAAGTTTATTACAGTCCTGATTGATTTTAAATTGCTTAGTCTGTTGCATGCTCTGTCTGTGGTGGCACAACTACGTTCACAATAGTACAAGCACGGCGTCATACTGCTTCGCCGTTGCCGGACGCCGGTGTAAGATTACGACGACGCAAGCGATTCATCAGACAACTCCAGAGCAACGGTCACAGCATATAGGAGTACTGTACTAGACATATCATAGGCCGTTGTGGTAGGCTCGTGCGTCTCCCTGTACCATACGTGAGGCGACGCAGTGCTGGTAGTATTTGGCCTTGTTGTGGTCGGTGATGCCCTGCCCCTGGCTGGCTGGCTCACCAGTCACCACGGCCAGCGCCGCGTGCGGCCGGCGTCCTGTAGGCGGCCACCGCTGCCAGCTCCCCCAACGCGCCCGTTTCCCCTTGTCGACGCAGTCGCAGTCGTCGCTCGGGCTTTGCCGCCTTCCGCACCAGGCGCGACAGGATGGACAGGGCTCCAAGGGCCAGCGCGGCCGAGTGCCGACACGGCGGCGCCCGTCGCGAGCAGCCAGCCAAGCCAGCAGCACCGAGGGGACGTCGGGACGAGGAGCAAGGAGCGTCAGGCCAGCGAGGATGAGGAGCGGTCAGCGAGCACCAGGAGCGCGCCGGTGGTGGCGCGCTGCTTGCCGTGAGCATGGTCCGCCTTATGTATGAGAAATTCCAGTAAGAAAAGTCAAGTCCAACGATTCTTAAAGAAGAAGGGCTTAGGCAAAGAAGATTTACATCGATATCGGCCTGTGGACTTAGAAGTGGGAATCCTTATTTCTTTACGAGTAAAACTTACAGGCTTTGAGAAAGAAAATCTCAGTCAGTATATATCTTATGTTATGTAAGTGTCCTTGGTTGGCCCTTACCTGGAGCAAAGCAGCTTCTTACCTTAGTCATTCAGTCGCGAGCAAGACCTCGTGGGAGTCGCGATCAAGACTTATATCGTGGGATAAGATTTCATGACTTAGGAGAATAGTAAGGAAAATAAAGTATAGAGAAAAGAAGCGACCTGCTAAGTTCTAAAAAGAGTGATTCCAAGCCGAGATTCTATGCTTTTCTTTTGGGAGACGGTAATGAGCCTTACCAAGGCCAGAGGTAGGATCATCGGATGCAATTGCAATTATGCAAAGCAATGAAGAAACCGAACTGCCTTTCCTCTAGTGCGACGCATGAAGAGAACTTACCTCCGTTCGATTCATATACTAAAAATTAATTAATTCTGGGACACGCTGCGAAATATCAAAGCTCATGGCTCCCCAAAATGAGCAATCAAAGCAACAGCAAACAGAGACCATACATACGCAAAAAAAAGAGAAGGAAAAAACTGAGACCGTACATGAATACATGATTAAACTTTAAACACGTGTACCTTCCCTCCAGTTCTCCTCGACACGTGCTAAGACGGTCTCCAACAAAGAATCAATATAGACATCCAAACCCAAAATGAGTAGCAAGATACCTAAAATCAGCCTCCAACAGAGGATCTATACGGGAGATCTATTTTGGGTTACCTGAGAGGCACAACCCAAATATGGACATCTTCTTCCTGAAACCCATTTACAAAAAGGATTCTCTTTTGGATCTTGTTGTTGGAGAAGATACCGAATAGGTATTAAACTTTTTACTTGTAGAACTACTGAAAGGACGAATATATCTTGTATTTTAGGTGAGTGTTGTTGCAAGCCACGGTAGACGCGGTCCCGAGGCCCAGCTTGACCAACGCGTACGAGACGAACGCTGCAATGATGACTGAGGTGAGCTAATAAAAATCACGAGCAGAAGGCACCAGTCGCCAAGGCGCTCGCCGGCGTAAACCACGTGAGTCCCCGTGTGTGATGTGTACGCCAGTGCCTACGTCGGCTTCTTGTGCAAAAGAAAAGCCGAAGAAGACGACGACACGAGAGACCGAGGTGGAAAGGGAGTGGGCCGTACCGCGCATTCAAACGTGAGGGCTGCTCAATGCCAACGCGCGCCGCACCGCGCCGTGCCCAGTGCCCACCACAAGTCGCCTCCACCGTAGGCGAGCCCATCCAGCAAAGCAGTGGCCCGACGCGGGCCTCGGCGCGGCAGCTAGCAGGGCAACCCGACGCCACACACGCCTGCTGTTCACGTGCACGCATGCAGGTGATGTGCCGCATCTACCGCGGGGCTCCTATTAAAACCCAAGCACATGCTATGCTACCAGCAAACGCCGCAGCGCCACTGCGGCAGCAGCATCTCACGGCAAGCTCACCTCACCTCACCCCCACCTCTGCAAGCAAAGCTCCTGTCCGGCCTCCGGATCAGGATCACACTGACCCCCGCGAGGCGTGCCGGCGTCCAGTGTCTGCATCGAGGGAGCCTTGGCTAGCTCGAAACAGCCAGCCACCACCATGCTTGTGAGGAGTGCCTCCACGCCGGTCCTCGGCGCGCTGCACCCCTCCGGCAGCCACTCGCCGGCGGTGTCCTCTCCGGCCGTCCACTTCCCCGAGTCGCCGGCGGCCGCCTACCACCCACCGCCCATCTCCTGCCACCTGGCCGGGCCCGGATCCGGGTCCGACCACGAGCGCTCGCGCCTCGGCATGCGCCGCACGTGCTCCGAGGACAACCTCGCGTCTCTGGCCGGCGTCCGCGCGGACGACCACCACCACCTCCCTCCGTCCGGGAAAGGGGCGCTCCGGGCGCGGCCGGTGCCGCTCGAGACCATCCAGTCGTTCAGGGGCCGGCAGGCGTCCACCGACGACGAAGATGAGGAGGACTACGATGACGAGGAGGACGCGTACGAGGTGGAGCGGGAGCTGCGCTTCGGCCAGTTCAGCTTTGCCGGCGGCGGCACCGGCAGCACCTACTCGCAGGAACACCCTCTGTTCCTGGCCAGGGGCCTCGGCATCGACCGCCTCGGCTCGGGCCTCCTCAGCGCCGACGGCGGCGGCGGCGGCGCCGGGTTTGGTGGCAGCGATGGTGGCGGCGGCAGTAACTTGGTGGCGTCGGGGAACGGAGGGGACCGCTCCGGCATCGAGATGCACTACAAGAAGATGATCGAGGAGGACCCCTGCAACGGCCTCTTCTTGAGGAACTATGCACAGTTCCTGTACCAGGTAAAGCACAAAAGCAAGCACCAGTCTCGTTCCGTTCCTGCAGAGCCGTTCGTTCTAGTGTCAATCTGCTGGGCATGCCGATCCTCAGCTACTTCACAATACTTTTTAATGAATGAACAATATTTTTTTTAAAAATCAATATAAACATCAACTTAAATTAAATTTCAGCGAAACCAACAGTGCCTTAAAAAAAATAACCTTTTTTTGTTTCTGAATTCTGACGGCGGCACTTGCACACACGGACGGAGCTATGTGGGGGTCAAACTGGGTCCTGGCCCCCCCGCTCCGGCTGCACTCTACAGGTTTACATGTCGCTGCATGTATGTAATTAATTTCTGCATTTCTCGTACCATGTATGTTGTTGCTGATCAGTGGATCATAGCTTACAAGTATGTAAATCCGTACATTGTTCATTCTTCTTTGATAGAATTTCAATTGTTCATTGCAGTATATATAGATAGAACTTAAAAAAACAAAGATTTTTCATAGAATTCCAATTAACTGTACTGCTATTGGTAATTACTGTAGCAGTGTACATTTGAATTGGCCCCCTACACATTCATGCCAGCTCCGTCGCTGCCTGCACATTGGGTTTCAGGTGAAAGGGGACTACAGGAGGGCAGAGGAGTACTACTCCCGTGCGATACTGGCCGACCCCGACGACGGCGAGCTCCTGTCGGAGTACGCCAAGCTGGTCTGGGACGTGCACCGCGACGAGGAGCGCGCCTCCAGCTACTTCGAGCGGGCGGCCAAGGCGTCCCCGCAGAACAGCCACGTCCTCGCCGCGCACGCCGCGTTCCTGTGGGACACGGACGACGACGAAGAGGGCGGCGGCGACGTGCTCACCAGCTACGTGGGGTTCGCACAGCCTGCGCACTCGTCGACTCTGGCTTCGGCGACAACCTGAACAGAACAGCCTCTCAAATCGTCTCTGAACTATGAAGTGAATGAATGGAGGTAGCTAGCATGATAGTGGCCTGTGCTCGTATCTGTAGCTTATCAATAATACTAGCGAACATAGGCCTAGTGCAGCGTATGTCTACTTATGTTTGTTTCAACAATGAGCAAGCAGATTCCATACTCTCTTAGTCTCTTTGGGAGCTTAACCTTGATCTGTTGTTAATCTCTCTAGTATGCTTATATTATCTGAAGATGCAAAGCTACTCTGCTGCTATACAGAGAACTGAGAGAAGGTTCAGTTGTGCTATACAGAGTCTGTAGCCATGCAATGATTTTGCGAGCGAGTTCGGGTACTGTGCTGCTGCAGATAATTCTGCCAATCGGTTCTTCAGGTTACTGTTACTCCCATGCATTCTGCATCTCTTAATACTGACATAGGCCACATCGATCCCACGGAAACAAATTTGATTGTCCGATAAAGGTTATGTTCGCTTCTCTTATAATCCGTCTTTTTCAACTTGTTTTTTCAGCCAGAACCGTATTTTTCTCTCACAACAAATCAGCCGAAACAGTGTTTCGGCTTGTTTTTTCAACTGAAGCGAACGGGGCCTAAAGCCTATCTTCATTATTGACACTTCGTGGCAATGCTCAATTCTGATTTCTGAAGCAACGTGTTCACGTCAACGACAATGGAGTCTGAAACTCAATAAAGTTTCAGGCAACACATTCAGCGTAAAGCCTCTCTTTGAAAGTGTCCTTGTACTTCTGTGTCCTGGCATTGAGATATTTGCAGGATACCATAAATATCAAGCCTATAAAAATCCAGAACTGGTGGCGCAGGACGAGCAGCAGCACCAGCACGAACTACAAGACGGATCCTTGCTAGGATTGGTTTTCACACCGCCGCATCTATCTTTCGTTGAGAATTTTCATGTTACTGTACTGCTTTACAGATATGCAGTAAAATTTTGTTCCAAATTATTACCAACAGTTGCACAGAGCAATTCAAATGAAGTGCCAACAGGATCAGTAGTGATCAAAGTGCCCAGGGCAATCAAATCCAAAAGTGTCCTGCATAAATTCAGTATTTTGGTTCACCTTTCTTGGATGCTCTGTTCACAGAAAGCAGGTTACTCAATGTGATGTACTTGTTCTCACAACAACTAACCATTTTCTTTTGTCTTAGATTGTGTGGACACAGGGAAACCGAGCTATGTCCCTAGGACGATAAACATTTTGTTTAATGAGATTAATTCGATGGAGAGGGCTAGGCAAAAGAAAAAATGTTGCAAAAATAACAAGCACACACTCTACATGCATCAAGTCGTTGCTCTAAAGCTGAAATACCATGCAGCAAGGTCTTGCCTGAAAAACACTGCAATATCAACTTATCTGCTGGTCTTTTTCCAGTATCTTAAGACAAAAAAGAAGCTTCGTCACTAATTCATCACCTTTAATTATCATCACGAAGTTCATCATGCACAGAAAATGTTTTCAGAGATGATCATGAATAAGATTTGTAACTTTAAACATGCAGCCACAGTTGTTAGCTAAGAAATGTAGACTCAATTTCAAGTTTCCACCATATGCTTTGCTCTAAATAAGCAATTTGTTTCACACCTTCCCACTGTGGCACCACGGAGCTAATTACACACCAGCCGAGTGGGATTTCAAGGCACTTCAGACTTGAACAAAACAACCCCCAAAGCAGTCAATAATTGGCACAAACATACCACAAACCTTTTGAGCCCAACAAAGGTTGTGCAAGGCAGCAATTGAAATTTTCAGGAAACATTGAATTAGACATGATTTTTTTTTATGTCGGTTAAAAGACACCAATCAAAAATTTTAGAGAAACAAGATATTCCAAATCAAAGATTCAATCAGAATAATGTTACTTGAATTTTACCAAAGATTCAATTATATTCAGTTATATAGAGATGGAAATTTAACTTCTAATTTGGTTGGGATGTGCCAGGCTCTGCCAACAGTGCAACGGCTAAGCGACAGTTGAGAACCCCAATGGCAAGCCATTGTAATGGATTCTCTCCCACAAAAAATAAATTTAATATCAAAGTGGACACATGATCCACATACCAGATATTAATAATTAAACTGGTAAGAACATATATTACACTTGATCTTAGCCAAATGGCCAAGAAAGGTATGAGTTGCCAAGAGGTTACCTCTTCCTTTTATATGCACCTCGTCTTCTCCACGAGTCTGCCCATGCGATGTGGTACTAATATTACTTCGCGTGTGATGTTATTCGCAATCAGAGGGACGTAATCACGTAATTACGTAAGCCAAACTGGGCCGCATAATCGTATTGATCTTTGTAAGTCGCGCATTAAGAGAGGTCCCTCCCCAGCTAGAAAAAAAAGTACCGCACCATTACGACACTAGATGCTATCTTCCACTAAAAAAAATAGATGCCATATCTGAGTGGCTGTTCGTTTAAAAAAAAAAAGAAAAATCTATCTATGTGTCTGTTCTGCAGTGCCTCGACCCTCGAGGGATCACCTGAATGCTCTTGCAGGCTGCAAGTGCGGCTTAGACCTCCTCAACCATGAGAGCTCGTACAATTTCTTGGGCATCGGAAGGCTGAAAGTCCAAAGCCCAGGTCTGGCGTCTCGCACACTTGGAGCGCTGCCGCCGCCGACCCACCTCTATCACCGCTGGCCCCCCTCTTTCCCCCTTCGGTATATCGGCGGAGACCGAGGAAGTGGAAATCCATCATTTTTAATTAGTTTTTTTAGCAGATCGAGTTCTTGCTCTCTTCATGCCAAGTTTTTTAGGACCTGTTTGGCACGGCTCCTCCTGAGGGGCTCCTCCGGAGAAGCCGGGGCCGTTTTAGAGGAGCCACAATTTATGGCTCCTCCAAAACGGCTCCGGCTCCTCTGTTTTTTACTGAAAAACGGCTCTTCGAAAAAAACGTTTGGCAGGGCTCTTCTGGAGGAGCCGGAGCCGAAGAGGAGCCCTGCCAAACAGGTCCTCAGTCTTCGGGATTTATCTCCTCCTCCTCGCCTCCGGCGATGACGAAATGCAGGGTGAAATCGTTTTTTCCATGGTGGCTTTGTTGAAGATGAGGGTGACAACTATGTGTCAGCATTCTCACTAGCATGATATAGAGACTTTTATTTCCGGACGGCGACATCAAGGCGGAGATAGTGTCGTCGTCAAGGAATAATTTTCTCCAGTCTCTTCTCCGTTTTATCGTGGTTAGATCTAGCCACGGTGAAGGACTATTGAGATTAAGTTTTAGATCGGTCTTCCTCGTTCTTCGGTCGCAGAAGAAGAATGGAAGACACCAGAAAGAATAAGTTTCTCAACTCCGCCTACATAAATGTTGGCCGTCGTTCGTTGGGCATCTATTCTCATGCCTTTTGCCCAGTGTTGGTCTGTGCAGTCATCTATACTGCAAAGCGTCGTACAGATTTGGTTTTGAGATCTGGAGCTATTCACAGCGTGGGTACAATTTAGATGAAAATCAATTTCTGAATATTCGTGTAATCCAAAGTGATCGTAGCATGTCGATGTACCCAGCTATTTTTTAATATAATTCTTCTCTCATCCGAAACAAAACTCCTCAATCATGTCGCTCTATGTTGGAAGATCACCTTGCAGCTGCTTGGTGTGTGTGCTCCTTATTCCCAAAAGAATCTAGCAATAAGCATGCATGCAAACGGTAGGTGAATGAGCTGACGAAAGGTCCCCTGTAGATCTTCGTTTATCTCCTTGCAGTTTGTCTTGGCAGTCTCATAATGTTGACCTGCTTTCATTACGGAGCAACGGATGCCCCGTTCGCTTCGCTAAAAAAAAAATCTGAAATACTGTTTCAATTAATTTGTTGTGAGAAAAAAACATTATTCCAGCTGAAAAAATAAGCTAAAAAATTGATGAAAAGAGAAGTGAACAGGGCCGAACTAGTGGTACGTTTCATTGGTTCCTTTGCCTCGGCTACTCTGTATTTTGGCACCTCACTGTCACTGCATCTACCAACAGCCTAACTAATCACGTGCCCCAGGTTTTCTAAAAAAACAATATATATAAGGGTGACAAAAAAAAAAGGAAAAACTATAAGCATGACAGGCGGGGCCAGATGAAATCAAGTGGGACCCACAGTTAGCTGCTACTTAACGATGTCAAGAAGCAATGTCATTCCACCCCTTCGATCCACACTACCGAGCAGAGATGACTTTGTACCCTCAACCAAATGGCAAGCTGGGATGGTTCCATGTGAAAAATCAACGATAAGACGATCACATTCCACCTTGTCCCGAAACCAAACACAACCGACGCTAGTCGCCGGAGGTGGCCCCGCGCGTGCCGATCTCTGTCCATGCCAGAGGAGGCCAAGCTCCGACCTCGCTCGTCCGCGCCTGAGGATGCCAAGCTCCGACCTCGGCTTCGTGCACCGTCACCCTCACCTCGTCCGTCCGCAACCATGAGAGTAAACAACTGAAACTCACCCGTGCTGAACCTCACTAGGGGAGGATAGAGCCACTGCTTGCCGACTGATTGGCTTCGTCTTACTGCCACGCGTTGCTCGGCCCACCACTGTGCCTGTCCGCCGCTAGGGGAGAAGGAAGAATAATGGAGACGAAGGCGAGGAAGACAAATGGCGGGGAGAGCGACGTCATCGAAGTGGGACATGTTGGTTCGTGTTTTTTTTTGGGACGAGCTCGTCCCTGTTTCTTGCGAATATTTTGGAAATATTCCTTAGATGGGACATTCGTGTTCTACCTAGCTCACAACCAAACACTTGGTAATAAAATGGGCTCGCCCGTTCGTTCCATATATACCCTCAACGCTACCTTAACTTTGAGAAACCAAGTCACACATGACTTCCGGCCCACCTCTCCCATGCCTTTCATTCAACATCCAATGGACGAGGAAGGAAACAACTTTCCCAGTGCATCTATAATAAGCCCCACTACGATTCCAAATAAGTCCTAGTCCTAGTTCAGAAGTAGGACAAGAACAAGAGAACTAACATACTCTTAAAAAAAAGAGCATGCGGATAAAGATACAAATTTATATGAAAATTATATAGCTCGAATAGATCTACAACTTCATACTTTATACTTTATGTATTTTCCATTAAATTTTTTTTGTGTCTAAAAAATTGATATAACTAATGTTTAGATATGTATTTATAGATCTAAACATCATACCGATTGTTTTGGTATTATTATGGCTTTTAAATGAAAATATTGTCAACTAGTAGTTGTAGATCTCTTTAATATCTGCAATTTTTTGTATGAATTTTATCTCTACACGAGGCTATATGAAAATTTGACGATTTTTTCTATATTATGCAACACTAGGGAGTAGACAATTCGTGGGAATTTATTCACACCATTACATAACACATCTTCAAAAAAATTTTATATAGTCTCGTATAAAGATAAAATTTGTAAAGTACGTCCTCCGTTCCAAATTATAAGCCGCTTTCACTTTTTTGGTACATTCATTTTATTATGTACTAAGACATATGTTATATCTAGATACATAGCAAAATGAATGTAGCAAAAAAATCAAAGCGACTTCAAATTTGGAACGGAGGGAGTATTTTTTATTTCTCGATGAGATCTCTAACCTTTTAGTTTACAATATTTTCATTTGAATTCATCTTGGTACCGAAATAATCGATATAATGTATAGTAGATCTATAAATACAGATTTAAATACCTTACCAATTTTTGTTGGCACAAAACAGTTTTTAATATAAAATTCATAAACTACAGACTTGTTGATATATATACTCAAATCCATACAAATTTTATGTTTATTCAAGCTTAGACAGTTATTATCTATATATACTCTTATAAAGCTTAACTTCACTAGAGGATTTTCTCTTCGTGCAAGGTGTCCCACATTATTCCTCACTAAGTGACCTAACTAGATGTTTTATCTCTTCATGCAAGGTGTCCACACATCACTCCCCACTAAGTCCATGCCATCCTTTATTAATTAAAAAATATCCACGTCATCTCTATCATGTGCAATACTTTTAATCTTTAATCTATGTATTAACAAGTCATCTACATATCCTATTTGTTTCATCATCCATTCCTCTGTAATGTAATCAAATATTCTATTAATTTTCTTCTATTAGCTTACCAATTTTTACGCCTCGATATAATAAAATAACATATAAACCAATTTCATATATATATATATATATATATATATAATATACAAAATACCATATATTAATAATGCTATGTATATAATAGATTTATTTTCAAGAAAATCCCGTGGCAACGCTGCGGGATATGCTTAGTTATACTTAAAAGTTATAAGATAAAAAAGATAAGCGGCGCAGAAAAAGGAAAAATCCGCCATTATCCTTTCTCTCTCCGCCAACTGGGCTTTTAATTGGGCTGCTATTTGTATCTGGGCTAGGCACTAATAAAGTAAAGTGCTCACCAACTGTTGGATGATAATTAGATGGCATCTAGATGAGGTAAAGTCAGCCCGTAAGGGCGTCCCCAACAGTGTCTCCAAATCGCCGGCTGACGTGGAGCCTAAAAAATAATTTAAAAGTAAGAAGTCAGATGATGGTAAACAGTCTGTTCGTTTGCTCGTATACGATCGTAGATTATAAACTGGAATAATATTTTTCTCTCACACCAAACCAGTCAACAGTAAATAATCCACGATCGTTTACGACGAAACGAATAGGTTGAAAGCATGTTAGGACTTAGAAGATTCTCGGCAAACGTGCGAGCTAAGCGCTTCATTGTTCGCTGACTTTACTGCTTCTCTTTCCTCCTGCTTGGATACCTAATCCTCCTCGCTAGCGAGCCGAGCAGCCGCTGGGAAGGCTGGGAGTGTTCGGCTGGCCGTTTCTGGCTGGGAAGGCTATTTCCAAATTTTGGAATAATATTCAAAATATAAATATTAATGATTCATTCGCTTTTCTCCAAGCGTTAATATCCAAAAATAAATATAAGATTCATTACATATTAGATATCTTCTATTAGATATTTTAGATAAAAAAAAAATTCTTTCTACTACAAATAGATTTACAAAAGAGATAATACTTATATCTGGGTTTGTGTCCTTCAGACAACCTAAAATAGGTCTTATGTACTAATTTTTAGGTTCGTTGTTACCTATTTTGATTCGGGTGCCGATATGGATTTGGAGACGGTCTAAGGCCATTACTTTACCAATCCGCGCCGGCGTCACCCTCTGGCGACGGCTGGGCGGCTAAGCGTGCCTTTTTCTTCTTCCTCCATAAACCCCAGCGTGCGCTCTGTCTCTTTCCCTCTCTATCTCCCTCTTGGCGACGACTGGGCCGCCGTCGCAGCAGCCCTACGCCAGGTGCCCAGGTCTTGTTCGGGCCCTTCGTCGGCGACGAGCACCACCAGGTACGCCCATCCCTTGGCCTCCCTTCCTGCTGTGCGAAACCGAGCACCCAAACCCTAACTTACCATTTGTATTCGTCGGATCTGATCTAATTTAAAGTGTATATGCATGTATTAAGCCTACTGAATTCGATTGTTTCATCCGGGGGTAGATGTGTACACCCATGTCCTTTAGGCTTCGTTTGGCTACATGAGGTTATTATCCACGGGTGATTCCACCCAGACGTGGGAAGGGTTGATCCACGCGGACCACCCAATACACGGCCAGCGGACCACTGTTATACACGGCCACACTGTTTTGATTCAACACCGAATACACCAGATTAGTTTTCTAAAGAAAGAATACACGGCCAGCGGACAGCTCGAACGAGACGACGACGAACAGCTCGGAGGAGCGCCCGAACGTGTGGTCGCGATTCCACACCTTGGGTGGAGATGTTTCTCTCACGCGTGGATTGACGTGGATGGCGGCGTGATCCATTCTAATACTCGCACATCCAAATGCGATTTTCGGCAGTGCGTGGGAGTTCACCCCGACGTGGGTTGTGATCCACGGGAGGCAGGGTTTGAGGCCCGATACACCCCAATACACTAGCTTCCAAATGAGGCCTTACTGGGTCCGCCCCTGGTTCCGCAGCTATGAAAGGTCGCTGTGTCAAATTGTGAAGATAATTTTGTGAATCATTTGAAGTTTGGACTGCTTGTATCATACTTGAATGCCTGGTTTCAGTTTATTTGTTGGCATATTTGTGCCACCAGTGCTTTACCCATCTTACTATTCTTGTATTGGCATACCTTGAATCTAATGTAATCTATTTTAGCCTAAACTGTTCACATTGTGCTGGCTTATGTGTTGATTTCTGCTGATTCCAGGTTCCTGCTGTTTTTAAGGAAAAAAAATTTAATGGAGGCAAAGTTGGCATTCTCCAAGGACAGCCCACCAATTTCGATAATTTGTGCAGCAAAGTTTGTGGGTCTACCCCTAACCATCGACCCTAGCCTCGCTGCTGGCTCGGCACCCACCCTACGGTTTGCTTCTGGGTAAGTTCTTGCTCCTTTTCTCAGGTACATGTTCTTTTTCTCTTTATTAAAATGTCTCTTTGGTCAATTGCTGCAAACAGCATACCACTTGTATCATAGTTAGCTTTGAGACAGTTCATATGTGTGGGGATGCTGCCAATGGCAACCTGAACTAGAGATGGCTGATGCACCGTTAGTTGTACACAATTTGTTGCTGCAGCAGCTATCGTGTTTTAACACAGTTAACTATTATCCTCAGGACAGGAGTACATCTAATATGATTTCTACTCTGCTATTCTTTACCCGTTTCTTGCGAGTCTGCAACTTTGTAATGGCAATCCCTGATCCTGTATGTGTGAATATGTATTTTTTTCCAAATAATCGAATGCTATCTGTTTTTATCTAGTTTCATTTCATGTGTTTATATTTGGTTTGACTCACCATCTGGGAGTTTATATAATTTCTTATACAACTTTGTTGTGTTTGGGTACAGAGAATCACTCCATGGTGTCAACCCAATCCTCCTCTACATTGCCAGCAGTGCATCAATTTCCTGCTTCTCTGGGAAGAATGATATTGAGTTTGGGCATGTATGTTGCCGTCTACTGCTTTTCGATAAGTTACTTATTGTCCTGACTACTTCTAATTTTCTATATTCTAAATTCTAAATGGCTGCTGTTAATAAACTCAGGTTGTTGAATGGCTTGAATATGCCCCCACCTTCCTTTCAGGCTCTGAATTTGAAAATGCCTGCTCATTTGTTGATGGATTCTTGGCCTCCCGGACCTTTCTGGTTGGTCATGGCCTCACAATTGCAGACGTTGTAGTTTGGTCAAATCTTGCTGGTAAGCTGTGGGTTTGTTCACCATTCTTCTTTCAGTCTGGCTCTAGGCATTGTAATGTTTAGCTTGCTGCGTCATTTCCTTCAGGAATTGGTCAACGGTGGGAGAGTCTAAGGAAATCAAAGAAATACCAAAATCTTGTCCGCTGGTTCAACAGCATAGATTCAGAATACAGAGACACACTGTACGAAGTTGTGGCTGCATATGTTGGGAAACGAGGAATTGGAAAATCTCCTGCACCAAGCCTTAAGGAAAAGGTACATGATTCAAAGGACCCATCAGCTCCAGAAGTTGATCTCCCTGGTGCAAAAGTTGGGAAAGTCTGTGTTCGTTTTGCCCCAGAGCCTAGCGGTTACCTCCATATTGGGCATGCAAAGGCTGGTCTATTGAACAAATACTTTGCTGAAAGATATCAAGGGCGCCTAATAGTTCGATTTGATGACACAAACCCTTCAAAAGAAAGCAATGAGTTTGTTGAGAACGTTTTGAAAGATATTGAGACGTTGGGGATCAAATATGATGTTGTCACATACACATCTGATTATTTCCCAAAGCTAATGGAAATGGCTGAAAGTTTGATAAAGCAGGGTAAAGCATATGTTGATGACACACCAAAGGACCAAATGAGGAAAGAGAGGATGGATGGTATTGAGTCAAGGTGCAGAAATAATACCGTGGAGGTAAATCTGTCGTTATGGAAAGAGATGGTTAATGGAACTGAAAGGGGCATGCAGTGCTGTGTACGGGGTAAACTTGACATGCAGGATCCTAACAAGTCACTCAGGGATCCCGTTTACTACCGCTGTAATATTGATCCTCACCATCGTGTTGGTTCAAAGTACAAGGTCTATCCAACTTATGACTTTGCTTGCCCATATGTTGATGCATTGGAGGGGGTGACGCATGCTCTTCGTTCCAGTGAATATCATGATAGGAATGCACAGTATTACCGAATTCTTCAAGACATGGGGTTGAGGAGAGTAGAAATTTATGAATTCAGCCGATTGAATATGGTTTACACTCTTCTAAGCAAGCGGAAGCTTCTTTGGTTTGTACAAAACAACAAGGTTGAAGATTGGACTGACCCACGTTTTCCCACTGTCCAAGGCATAGTACGTCGTGGCTTGAAGATTGAGGCATTGATACAATTTATACTCCAACAGGTACACCTCTGTGCTAATGTCCTCTTGCTTTATCTTCATGTTTCCTGAATGTTTAGTACCGATTTCGTATCCATGTTTGATCTTTTGAAACTATATCTATTTTGTTTGTTGAAGGGTGCTTCAAAAAATCTGAATCTCATGGAGTGGGATAAACTCTGGACAATCAACAAGAAGATAATCGATCCAGTGTGCGCAAGACATACTGCTGTGCTAAAAGACCAGCATGTCATCTTTACTCTTACAAATGGTCCAGAGAAGCCATTTGTTCGAATTTTACCAAGGCATAAGAAATTTGAGGGTGCTGGAAAGAAGGCTACAACCTTCGCCAACAGGATTTGGTTAGATTATGCTGATGCAGCAGCCATTAGCAAGGGTGAGGAAGTAACCCTTATGGATTGGGGGAATGCTATCGTTAAAGAGATCAAGGTGGAGAGTGGAGTAATTACTGAACTAGTTGGAGACCTACATCTTGAGGGCTCTGTGAAGACAACAAAATTGAAGATCACATGGCTAGCAGATATAGAGGAGCTAGTCCCCCTCTCATTGGTTGAATTTGATTATCTCATCAGCAAGAAAAAGGTATTTATCTGCTCTCTTCAGCCATTGCTTATGTATTGTACTAGCCTGTGACGCTCAAAAATATCATTTTGTGCATGATTGTCCATGTTTCCATGTTTCTTGATGATGTTTGATCATAAAATTAGATATGACATATTAACATGTTATAATGTGATTTGTGCGTTGTCTTGTATATAGAAGACTATGCCGCACTGAATCAAATTGCATGCTGATTTCCACGGCATTTTATCTTCTAGATATGCAGCAAAACTGCTGTTTCATTCACAAGTTTTCCCCTTAATTTCTATTAACCTTGTGTAGTGATGCTGCAAGAGAATCTATGTTGAATCCTTTTTTTTTATTTTGTTGAAAAGTCTGTTGAATCTTTAGAATGGACATTGTCGGAGTGAGTGCAATGTCTGCCTCCAGATTAAAGACTTGGGAAAATTCCTTGTTAAGTTTTAATTAGAAAGACTCCTTGTTCTTTGACAAATTAATGTTGAATTATTCTGTTGGTGGCCTCTGGCAGCTAGAGGAGGAAGATGACTTCCTCGAGAATCTCAACCCTTGCACCCGACGAGAGAACCCGGCCCTTGGAGATGCAAACATGAGGAACCTTAAGCGTGGAGAGATCATACAGCTCGAGAGGAAAGGCTACTATAGGTGCGATGCCCCTTTTATCAGATCATCGAAACCGGTGGTTCTGTTTGTGATCCCAGATGGCCGGCAGCAGACCTCGGTTAACTAGGCATGGTGACCACTTTTGGCACATGGAATTCCTGAGATACAAGAGTCTGCAATCAGTATTGTTGCATTGTACACTTAATATTGTACTGTGATTAGGCCAGGCCTATCTATCCTGCCAACCAAGCAGCGCAGCCATTTTGATTTTGGTCGATGATACTTTTACCTGAGCTTGAAGATTCTTATACTTTTTCTAGCAGTGCCTTTGTTATTTCGCTGTTAGATTATTTTTATTGCGTCGGCCCTTTTTTCTTTTGCTCAGGTATTGACTACCTTAATCTATCGTGGACGGGTATGATATGTTGTTGTGATGAGTAATTGCATGCGGTGACCGTAAGGTTGGGAGTAGGATGACCAAGTTGGCCCTGCTGTATTTGCTCGAGGGATTCATGTTCAAGATGTTACTCGTGAAAACATTGCCTCGCCTGTGGCTGCTTAGCTCGGCCCCTACACATGCCAAATAATTTGAAGATGAGTTTTTCTGGTCTGAAATCTCTGGTTATTCTCAATTCCCAGCGCCGATCGCCGGTCACTATGATCTACTTGTAGCGGCAAATTAGCTATGAAGCAGTGAGTTAGCCTTGAATGCAAAGTCACCATCCAAGCGTCATTGATTTATATACCGTATATGAGAACTAATCTTTGACCTAACTGATTTATACACTTGAGGTTGCAGCTAGGCCAAGTGAGTCGTGCAACGAGGGCACAACAGAACACCAAGAACATATAGATTACAACACGTAATAAAATTGCACAATGGTTCTAATCATCAACAGGTAATAAAACTGCACAATAGTTCCAACCGTCAAGGATTTGCACACTGCATAGAGCTAATATTGTTCAAACAAAATTACATTTCCAAACGGAGAACACCATCATACAAAACCACCACCTCGCCGGTCGCCGCCGCCCGGCCCGCCCACCACAGTCCCAGCCCGCCGCCTCACAGCAGCTCATACTCGCTGCAGCTACACCCCTGGCCTCGGGGCCTCAGCCTATATGGCTGTTCTTCACGCGGTACTCGTCAAGGCCACCTCGCCAGCGACCTCACCAAAACAGGCCAAGAGACGAGCAGAATCTTGTAGACTGGGTGAAGCCCTACTCTTCCAACTCTTAGAAGCTTGAGACTGTAACCGATACAAGGCTTCAAGGGAACTATAGCATAAAATAAGCAGCCCAGCTCGCTTCAGTGGCAAATAAATGCCTGGTACGTGCACCAAGCCAGGTACTGTCCCAAGATGAGCGAGGTACTGGAGATAGTGCAGAAGATCGTTGAGAGCAGCAAAATTGGAACATCAGAGCATCCCCTGATCAGCAATTCAAAGGAATTAGCGAGTGATGAAAAGGAAAGGAAAGGCCTTGATTTTAACAGAAGTGCAGATATTAAAGGTGGGGAAGGGAGAGGCGGATGCCTAAGCTTGTGAGAACACAATGATTCACATCATCAACAGATGAGGTGTTTCTTGCATGGCTTGACTTGCGTGGTAAGTAGCAAAAACAGCAAATGACTGAAAGGTACACCTGTGAGTTTGCATATAGCATACAAGTCAGAGCATATGACAATTGTAAACAAACGGTTTGGTGCAGCCCATGGCGGCCACCACTAAATAATGGATAGGTCCACATTTTCTGGGTTCACACGTAGGCTGATAGGCAATCTTCTCCACTCACTTGAGGTTCTACGTTTTTTCTCAGAGCTTAATCAAAGCTCAGCTAGTGCTTTCTCCTTGTAGAAGGCTCACTGTACAGTTTAGCTTGGTTTTGTGGAGTGAATTTTGAGTGTATGAAGTGCCAAATAAGAGTATTCTTGTAGTGCCTATAGCTTGTTGCTTCATATATTCACAGGTGTTGCACTTTGCGCAACCTCCCTGCACAATTCTGTTTCCCTATACTTTGTACAGCTGATACCCATAAAAAGAGCAGAATGACTTGTGCACTTCCATATAAATTGCTGGAACATGCTCCTGGGCTCCTGGCAGATTGCAAAATTGCTCCATGCACAGCTTTAGCAGATGGTTGTAACTTATGAAACACTCGATATAGTTTTCACCTTATTGCAAAATCTGTCATATAGGCAGTAGCTACAGGTGAAGCAATTTCTGAAGAAAGTTTATCTAGATGTCAATACTCAAGCCGTTCGGCTGATCCAGTTTCAGCTTGTTTCAGCTTATTCTCTCTCATAGAACACTATCTGTCTGCTATTCAAGCAATATATGCCATCTGCGTCCCATATTTCCACGTCCCTGCTATCAGCAGAGAATTTGCAGCAAATGCTGCTTCTAATGCTCAAATATATATCTCCTGGTGGATCTGCTCACAACTGTGGGTTGACCTCTTGATTTAGATTCCAATTAGATTAGCCTAACTGATGCTTTCCATAGTGCTTCAGTGGCCAGGACTAAGAGTGGCAAATACTATGTCCAGATTCACTCTGAGAAAATGATCATACAGCTTCATGGAAATTCTTTGTTGAGTGATCCACAGGTGCAACCATCATTCTAGCAGTGTGCACAGAGGTAATCTGGAATAGTAGCATCATCCTGCATTTTCATCTCCATTGCTATTAGATTCAGCAAGTCATAGATCTCCGCTGAGCCAGGATGAGTCTTGTCCTGGGCAGTGAACCAGGAGAGCCCTCCACCAACATCAATCTCACTAAATCCAGCGACCTTTTTTACACCCCTGTCCTCCATTACCTTTCTAGCTTTCTTCGCCTCTTGCCACCGTCTGGCAATAGCATAGATATTGGACAGGCCAATGTACCTGCCATCATGGTCTGGCTGCAACTGGACAGCTCCACCCATCCATGCAAATGACAGGCATTCAAGAGAGCACCAAGCACAGAAACACTGGGCTTCATCGGCATACTTTTAACAACACCATACACTTCCTCCAAGTGCCCAGCACGGCCAAGCACATCTACCAGGCAAGCGTAATGCTCGACATGTGGTCTGAGCCCTTGCGCTTCAAGCGAGCGGAAGAACTCCCAAGCCTCATCCACTAGACCGCCATGGACACAAGCACTCAACAGACAAAGGTACGTGATCTCATCCGGTGCAACCCCAGCAACCCGCATCTTCTGGAATATCTCCACCGATTCGGTGGCCATGCCATGCACCGCAAGGCCACCAATCACAGCATTCCATATCAGAACATCAGTGCTCTCCACCGGCACAGCCCAGAACACCTCCAGCGCCTCACGGATGGCCCCGCACTTGGCATACATGTCAACGAGTGAGGTCGCAAGCTTGAGGTTCAATGGGAAGCCACGCTCCCTGAGGGACCGGTGCACCCGCCTCCCACGCTCAAGGTCCCCAAGGTTCGCACAGGCTCCAAGCACGCTCACCATCGTGACGTCATTCGCCCTCGCCCCACCCCCACCATCCTCCACTGACCTGGCGGCAGTGTTCTCCATCATCTCAAACAGCGCGAGCGCCTCACGGTGCTCTCCACACTTTACGCACCCGTCGATCATGGCGCTCCAGGACACCACGTCCCGCTGGGGCATCCGAGCGAACACCTGCCGCGCGGCGGGAAGGTCCCGGCACTTGGCGTACCCATCGAGGAGAGCGTTCCAGGAGACGAGGTCCGGCATGGCGCAGGCCGCGTACATGTGGACGAGGGAGTTGGCGACGTGGAGGTCGGCGGGGAGGAGCCCAAGCCGGAGCGGGTGCGCGTGGAGCGCAGCCGCGAGGGAGGCGGAGGACAGGCGCGCGGCGGCGCGGGCAAGGAATGGGAAAGTGAAGTGGGACGGGCGGAGGGAGGAGCGGAGGAGGAGGATGAAGAGGGAGAAGGAGAGGGAGGGGGACGGCGAGGATGAGGCGGACCGGATGAGGGGCTCGAGGAGCTGGATGGTGAGCGTGCGGCCGCGGAGGTCGCGGAGAAGGTGCGGCAGCAGCGGCGGGTAGGGAGGCGGAGGCATGAGCATCAGTGACGTCAGCGTCAGGGGATGGGCAGCAAGAACTAGTAGAGGATCAACACGCCTTCAAATCCAAACGGAGAGCACCAGCCTTGCCGGGTTGCCGCCGCTCCAAAACAGCTCATCCCCAGAAACCGCCGCCTCGCCGTCGCCGGTCATCGCCGCCTAGGACGCCCATGCTCGCCGGGTCCGCGTCCCTCAGGGCCTCGGCCTCCGCGGTGGCCGAAGCGGGCGGCGACCCAGCCGTTCTCCACGCGGTCCTCGTCAAGACCGCCTGGCCCTCCCGCGCCGCCTACAACCTCCTTCTCTCCCGCTATCCTCCGTCGCTCTCGCTGCCCCTGCTCTCCCGCCTCCCGTTCCGCCCCACCGCCGCCTCGCTCACCTCCTCGCTCTCCTCCCTCTCCGCGTCCTCCCCGGCCTCCGCGCTCCCGCTCCTACGCCGCGTCCTCGGCATGTCCTCGGCCCTCCTTGCCGACGGCCCGCTCTCCTCACTCCTCCGCTCCATGCCGCCGTCCCTCGCACCGCTCGTGCACGGCCTCGCCTTCAAGCTCGCCCTCTCCTCGTCTCCCTATTCCGCCTCGTGCCTTATTACCCTATACTCCCGAGCCCGCTCCCCCGCGTCCGCCCGCCACCTGTTCGATGAAATCCCCGTTGCAAATCGTGACCCCGTCTGCTACTCTTCCACGATTGTTGGGCTCGCACAGAACGGGCGGTACGAAGAATCTCTCTGTGTGTTCGCTGGTATGCGCACAAATGCTGTTGATTCTACCATGTATGCACTGTCCGGTGCTCTCCGTGCCACTGCAGGGCTTGCTGTGCTGGAGCAGACCTGTGGGATTCATGCGCATGCGGTGGTGGTTGGGCTTGATGGAAATGTGGCTGTTGGGACCGCCCTGGTGGATGCTTATGGTAAGGCTGGAGTTGTGGATGATGCAGTGAAGGTTTTTGAGGGGTTGGGCGGTGACCGGAACCTGATCACATGGAATGCGGTGCTGTCTGCTCACGCTCAGCAGGGAGATGTGCAAGCGGTCATTGGGCTGTTTAACCAGATGATGGAGCTGGGTTTTGCTCCTGATGGGCTAACATTCCTTGCTGTTCTCACGGCATGTAGTAATGCCGGAGCAGCCACTGAAGCTGAGTTTTGGTTGGAAGCAATGCAGTCGAAGTACAGTGTGAAGCCTGGACTTGAGCATTATACTTGCGTGGTGGGTGCAATGGCACGGGTGGGACGTCTAGAGGATGCAGAGAGTGTTGCTTGTACAATGCCATGCAAACCAGATGCAGCAGTGTGGCGGACGCTTCTAATGGGCTGTGTGGTTCACCGCAAGGTTGACATGGCAGAATCCATGGGGCAGAGGCTTCTGGAGATTAATCCCAAGGATGACTCAACTTATGTCATGCTTGCCAACGTCTACTCAGCAGCTGGGAAAAAGAATGAGGAGGCCAAGGCATGGACTGCAATGAGGGATCGTGGAGTCAGGAAGGAAGGTGGCCGGAGTTGGATTGAGGTCAGAGGGATGGTACATGTGTTTGTTGCAAACGAAAGAAGGCATGAACAGCTGCTAGAGATATATGACAAGCTGAATGAATTGATTCAAGAGGTAGAGAAGTTAGGGTACAAGGAGGCAGATGAGGGTTTTTGGCATCATAGTGAAAGATTGGCCCTTGCATATGGGTTGATCAGTGGTGCTGCACCATCAGGAAAGGTGTTGAGAATAGTTAAGAACTTGAGAATATGTGCCCATTGTCATGAATTCTTCAAGTATGCTAGCATGGTGATCGACAGAGTAATTGTAGTACGGGATGTCAATAGGTACCACACAATTAAGAAAGGTGATTGCAGTTGCAGAGACTACTGGTGAAACACTTATCCTCAGGACAAACTATGATGCAAGAACCATTTGTTTGATTTTCGGATAAACCACGAGATAACTGACTCCAGAAAAAACTCACTGCAGGATCCATTGGAAACTTACTTGAAGTTGTTGCCATATGGCTAACTTCCCTACATGTTTGAAATCTTGAAGGGAGCTGTGGTCTTATGGTGTTGCAGACACCATAACATCTTGTTCGGATAGACACCAAAGCATCTTGTGACTCATGAAGCATAAATTAAGAGGGCAAGTGATGCCCTTTAGGTGCAATTACTCTGGGGAACCGTTTGTGCCTGCTGATTAACAGTTTGGGTTCTCAGAGATGCCCCAGTTCAATAGTGCTTAATAGTTGCTTCTTGTTCTTGTCTTGGGGCTGCTATGCTCATCTTGTTCCGGTAACATAAACTGCTGAGAGGAAGTACCATTCCTCAGTTGCTCCGTGGTCTGTAGCATCCCATTTGGTGCCAGTTAAAAGCAATTAACTCCAGAGCAGAAGACTTACAGCTTTGTGGGAACAAGTGTAGTACAACAAATACACTATTGTAAACGTGTGAGAGTTAGATCGATTCTTCTCTCCCTTTATTTATGATTGTTTGGCTTTTCCTAGGTTTTTTCTTTTCCTTTTTTCTTTTATACTTTAGTCTATTCTCGTATTATTTTCCTCTCTATTTGCATTCTTTCAATGAAGAATTATCTTCGATTCTTTTTATTTTGACTTGATTTAAATTAAGTGGATACAGCTAGACGCCTAGACTATTATTTCAATCTACTAATTTATTACATATAGATTCAAGATAATATAGCAAGAAGAATGTAAAGTGTGGTAGAATAAAGTATATGTAATTCTTTCTACCACACTTTATGATTCTAACCACATGTAAGACTTGGTTTTTTTTTCATGGACACGATGCGACACATATCTTAAAAGGAAGCAACCAGCAGGTTGAGAATTTTTTGAGGATTTACTCGTAATTGGCTGATTTCTTTATGTCTCTACAACTCTGTATTTCGCAGGTATTAACGACCATCGCCAGGATTCGGATTGGTCCATGCCATGACCCACGAGGCCATGAGTCGGTGTCGCAACGCCGCTAGGTACGGGGCGCGACAGGGAGGACCGAGAGATGGAAGAAGGCAGGGGTCCGAGGGAGGTGGCTAGCTTCAGAGAGCAGCGATTAACGGTGGCGGCAGCACTGCATTGCATTGTGGAGATGGAGAAGAAAGAATCAACGTCTGTGTTTTTCAGTCTTTTTTGTCTTTGTATCGCGCTGCTAGACAGCCAGTTGTGAGCTTCCTGTTCTATAAAAGCTGGGTATTACCTCCGTCAAAGAAGAAGAAGAAGAAGAAGAAGAAAGAATCAACCAAGGGGAAAGAGAGACGGCGGTCGCGTGTGCACTGGGGCAATGGGTTAGGCTTAGGCTTATACGTGGGCTGGATGGATCAGCAAAGGCCTAAGCCCAAAGGCCAGGCTTGGAAGCCCATCGCATCATTTGTCTCTTGTTAGTGATGGATGGGACTGACGTTATCAACTTTGCTGCTGCATCTTCAGCTGGTCCATTGTTCCTCTCAAAGCTGTCGACGCAACGAGAAGTGAAGAACAAAGATTACATGGCAAAATTATTTCTCAACATTGATCGTGCCGTGACATGCCATGCTCGTGTCGTGCTAGAGCTGGGCCGCCTGTTTGGCCAACTATGAACTATAGTCTATTCCATCCTATTCTTTCTCCGTCACCTCTTTATTGCTAAGATAAGACTCATCCATCCGTCATGGACTCAATAGTGGTCGTACTCCGGCAAACGACCTCACATGTGAGCTCCCATGCTCTCGCTCTTCCTCCCTTAATCCCTCGCTTCCCCCTCTTAATGCGAGCTAGGCTGCCTTTCTAGCCAAATCTGAGCTCCTACCCTCGGATGTGGAAGCACCAGATCCTCCATGTTACTCCACATGCACGACCGTGTTCTCCTACACCTGGATAATGAGCTTCTCCTAAGGTATGGCGTCCTCCACGCGCACGGTGCAGCGTGAGCAGGGGCAGCCAGCCGCCACAAGTGTCTCTTCTCCATTGAGGCATTGACTTCCACCCCACCTCCGAGCTCCCATGATTTGTTTTGAATTTTGTTCGTGTTGGCTTCTCAATTTTGTTCGAGTTTTTCTGACGGTGGCCTTAATTTGGTCTCGATCTGGTCGGCGATGGCAGCTTCGATTCAGTACTCTTACCCTCGCTTGATCTATGTCTTTTCCTATTCCTGTTCTTGTTCTTGGTTGGGGTCTGCATCATATTTCAAACGGGTAATATGCTGGACTCTGTGGTTGGGGATTCAAATCGAACGGGAGCTAGTCTCGTCTAGTCTCATCTACCAGCTAGCGTGCATAGGATGTAAAGGACAAGAGGCGGCCAGATGGCGCGCGTATTTGTTCATTTCCTGCCCCAATCATTGTGAGAGGGTGAACCACATGTCACTCCCATTTCTTGAAAACTCTTTGCCTCATCGTCGTGCCATACTTTATCTTGACATGGCAACCATGCATGCATTTGCATGCAGAGAAAACCCAGCAGCAGTCTTGTGGCATACCGTACTCCACAGTACATGCATTGCTGTGGTTGTGGTGTCTTTGTCTCCCATCATCGATCTCATTGACTTGTGGGGCTGGTTGTTTTTGCCTGCTAAAAAAAACGTTGGTTCAGCCACCGACCTCTGAGCCGCTCTCGTCGTACACGTCCTCCTAGGACTAGCTAGCTAATGAAACATGGAATGACAATTCGCTCGTTGGTCATCGTACGTGCGTGAACATGCAGTTCCTTCCTGAGAATTGAAATAGATTTGGAAGAGGACGAGAGGGGCAAGGAGGAGTAGGCATGGGAGTCGTGCCTTGGGCGGACAAAAAGTGGAGCGGACGACACAGACACTTCTCTTGACAAGTACTCATACTTTGACAGTCTACATACTTCATGATTGGTCATAGGCCACAGATTATCGGAGTGTTCGGCTGCCATTATAAGCCATAAGCCGTTATTTCGATAATTTTGATGCGATTATGTCGGTCAAGTTATAATAACGCTTGAGTTAAAGCATGCAATTTTATGTATAAATGTTTCTTACTTACTGGGGTTGCGATTTCGTCAAATTGGTATATTTTTCTCTCCCAACAAATCAACGTGACAGATGATCAAATTGAAGCGGGATTTTTTACGATAATTTTGATGCAATGATATTGTTATTTTCCCAGCATATATTATGAACCCCAAATATTCTTTTCTATACAAAAAAATACATAAGTTTTTTTTTGACAAATCTACATAGCAAATGCATGGTTAGTGCATCGAGCTGGTAAAAGCAACAAGAGCAAACTCTATCCTATATGATGGGATTTCAATACAGTACACAGGAAGATACATGATTGATTAGAAGAGTTATCTCTTGCATTATATCATATATGATGTAATTTCAACAGTACACGATACATATCAAATTTGAAGTAGGCTTTATGCGTATATACGCATTTACATACAAAAGCAACATAACAAGCAGATAACATGATACAGAAGTGTGTGGTAGTTTTTGTCAGTGACAATAGACACACGTACTTTTTCCACCAAGAATTGTCACCTTGACTTTTATTTCCCCCCATTAAAGTAGGTATTCAACTTTTCCACCAACCATCGCCTGCAAGCTTTATAGAAGGAAAATCAGCATCAAATGCATATGCAACACAAGCAAACAATAAAATTGCAAACTCAAATTCTTTACAGAAATGTCAAAAAATACAAATTGCTATCTTCTTTCAATTTTGGGTACAAGATATATCTAAGCAAACCATGTAATGATTGTCGTAGAAAATGACTTTGCCTCATCATATGTTCAAACGGCCTATATGCTTTTGTCTGCTGAACAAATGGATGCAAGATATATAAGCAAACTACGTACTGATCAAGGACTGTGTGCTTGGCTACCGCTTGGAAGTACTCCTCGCTCTACTCTTCACCAGGTACGAGCATGCACTTCGTATGTGCTCCTTAGTGTGTGGGATCCGAAAGCCCGGACGAACGACTAGCATGGCGCAGCGGATAGAAGTTGAAGAGGACCGAAGGGGCAAAGAGGAGTAGGCATGACACTACCCCGATCTTGATATCACATACCGTCAATTCAAAAAGCTCCTTCACTGTCGGATTTTGAACCGACAGTAGCATACCGGCAGTGACGGAGGGTTGACATTACTGTCGGTTCCTAAAAACCGACACTAATCTACAGGCAACAGTGTCGGTTCCTGACTCCACCCGGTAGTGTCTAGTTGAACAACACTGCCGGTTTGTAGAAACAACCGACATTGATGTTTGCTTCAAGAGTGTCGGTTCTTGACTCAAGCCGACAGTGTTGAGCAAGCCTACACTGTTGGCTTGTGTCTCAAGCTGGCAGTGTTGAGCAAGCCATCACTGTCGGTTCATGGCTCAAGCTGTCTGTGTTGGTCGAGCCATCACTGTCGATTGGTACGTCAAACCGACAGTGTTGTCTTCAGCAACACTGCCAGTTTGGATTTCAAGCCGACAATGATGGCTCAATCAACACTGTCGGCTCATGCCATGAACCGGCAGTGCCCTCTTTACCATCATTGCCGGTTTTGTGCTAACCGGCAGTGATCTCCTTTTCACATTTTACTATTTTATAATTTTTTTAGTGGAATCATGTTTTGCTTTATATTTGCTATGTAGACGACATATCCTTCAACATTAATCATTATAAATGTTACGATTACAGTTCAAATGTACTTATGAAGCTCTCGATCCCTTGAAATAAAAAAGAAATTATAATAGTCTAGCGAGCCGCTCTGGCCCGTACTGCGCCTTGTACTTCACGGACTGTGCAATGGAGAATGTTCCTTTTTTTTCCAAGCACTCTGATACGATGAAGGCAACTAGCTCCGATGATAGTGCTATGACCTCCATTTCTAACACCTATTGTGTTTAAATTTCTTGCACTGTCATTCAA